TGCAAACTTCACACTATTATTACATGTATGTATTTAATGTCAAATTAATTACACCATAACTTCATTTAATTTGTTTTTATTGTCAAATTCACTCGTCGTATAACAATATTAATTAAAGTTAATGAATGAAATCTTGTATTATATGAACGATTCATTCAAATTTTACGAATATTTTTGTCTCTTAATAATGATTGAGTGAAAATTCTTTCTCTCGGATACAAACTTAAAATTAACATAAAATTTCTCGTAAAAATATTGATTAAACTATTTTAGTTTAATTTAGTTTAAGTTTTAGTTTATATTTAATTTTATCTGTAATAAAAATAATATTTTATTTTAAATTTCAGATTCAATATTAAATTAAAATTATATTTTCATAATGTTAATACTTTATACAATACTTTATACAAATGCATTGTTTCGTGATTTACATGAATTGTTTTAGGAAAAAGATTTTTAAAATAAGTTAATACACTGGCAAACAGTACTTTACTAATCAGACCATAACATTGATATCAATGAACGATATTTCCGGACTAACAAGACGTTTGCTAAACATTTAAGATTTACACACATTAAACATAAGAAAAATAATTCAATTATTTATTTTCTAATAACAATTTACAGACAATTTTAAATTTTATGAAAATACATATATTTTAGATGTAATTATTCTCCAACTTTTGTTTCGCCAGAATTTTATTTGTTCTAAAAATGCATGTTTTCTTATATTGACGACAAACTCATTAAACTATTAAATGAATTATAAAATTAAGTATAAGATAGTGAATGAAATATTCAATAGTATTATGAAGGATACGGAGTGTTATTAAACTATGCTATCATTTGCTTGATTTGATTTCGGCGTAAGTGTTGATAACGTAACGTCTGGTAAATATTAGTATCAAATATACTGTATATACACTTTGCGCTTAATTTATGTCTTTTTCATATGATTTTTATCTTTTACTCAATGTTTTCCTTACATTCACTTTCTTTAAATTATTTTTAATTACTTTAATTGCATTCACTTTGAATGCAATGATGTTTTACAATAAATAGCATTAATGTTTAACGCATTTCACATTTAAACAAAACTCTCGGCTATTGGTATTTAATGACATTAAATCTAATGTATTTCACTAAAAATTCACAACAATTTAGGAAAAATACTGAAATTCAAAGCAATAGTCAAGCGATGGATAAAGTTTTTTTTTACAAATCCTATTAATTATAACTTTTGGCTTAAGAGTCGAAAAAGTTAGCTATAATTTGAGATAACTTTTTGGCACTTCTTCTCAATTGTGAATATGTTTTATGAATGAGTGAAAGAACTCTTGGTTTCCATCTAATGATTATTATCTCTAAAAACTTGTGTTTATTTGTTTAAGAGATTAAAAATGTGAGTAAAAATGCAAATCAATGTAAATGAATGTACTTTTTAATACATTATAAACATTAGACAGCAGTAATTCGCAAACATTTGCGCAAAACTCTCTGTTTTTTCGCTATAATTTGCAAAACAATATAAAACCAGTTATAAAAAACTGAATGGTATTGAAAAATGTGATTGTTCCTGGGCAAAATACATGATAACATTTATTGTATTATCATGATCATTCTACGAGATTACGTAATTCTTGTAACAAAACAATATAAAACCAGTTATAAAAAAACTGAATGGTATTGAAAAATGTGATTGTTCCTGGGCAAAATACATGATAACATTTATTGTATTATCATGATCATTCTACGAGATTACGTAATTCTTGTATAATAACGAAATCGTGATAACTTTAAACAATATAAGCGTACAAACTTGTATATAGGATGGGGTTTTAGCAACTATTTAATAATTTACTTAAATACTTGTAGATGTTTTATATTGAAACATTCATAATAAATTTTTAACAAAAGTTAACATGTTTAAAAATAAAAATAAGTTTAGAAATAATTTGCAAGTTTAAAACTAATAAATTCATTTATATGGGGGACAGTAATAATGTGTAAAATAGTAACGTTGTTTGCGAGTTGTTGTGTCACATATGGAGTGCAATGTTAGAGAACATAATTGATTGGATGTATTGACGCCTCTCTGCAAAGCATTAGTCGTTATGTTGTGAACGGTTTGTATGAGTTGTATGTGTAATGTGTTGTGTATTGCGAGTCATAACTGAACACAAAAATCAATAAATTGTTTGTCACAAAAACATTGCATTCAAAACACTTATAATTTGTAAATTGTTATACAATTTGGACATTGAATGCAAACACCCATTGGTTTATGTGATTGTCATTTAATTAGCACTCAATTTATTGATCCATACATTCAATGCTCGCTTTGGTCTGACGTTTGGTTTTGAAGTAGTTTTTAAATATATATATTTTTAATTGTGTTATAATATAAGGAAAACAATAAGCAATATATCGATCGGCCGTCGGATCACTTCCTCGTGAGCGAAGAGGACGCCATCAAAATGGTTGCCGGAAATGAAGGGATGGAGGGATTGATCCCAATTGTGAACCGATTGCAGGACGCCTTCGCACAAATGGGTCCGCATTTTGTTTGCTTTTGTTTGAATCACATTATTATACAATATAGTGAACCCCCTTATAGTGAACACACATTTACATAGAGTGTGTGTATATGTTATGTAATAATGGGATGCTTTTGTTTAATCAATAGCCGGTGAAGTTGTGATGATTGCAGTGTTTCTGTGTGTTCACTATATGTGGTATTCATTACATTAATGTTTTAATTATAGTTTTAATTTTGCAATTCATTCATACATTTTCTTATTAAGTATTTCATTTAAATAGCGATTGAATGAGTGATTAGTTAAATACAATATTCAATAATGTATTTAATGGTTGGGATTATTGGGAAAATTAGTGACTAATACTATGTCTAACATTAGACTAAACAAGAAAAAAATTATTGATAAACAGATTTTGATAAAAATGTGTGACATTTTAGCGTTAAATTGTTGTGTAAAATCTAGTGTATATGTAATGACAATTGGATTGATCTTCAGGTGTAAATATGGCATTAGATTTGCCACAAATCGCTGTCGTTGGCGGACAATCAGCGGGAAAGTCATCGGTATTGGAGAACTTCGTTGGCCGCGATTTCCTGCCCCGCGGGTCCGGTATTGTCATTTTCATAAAATTTAAAATTGTCTGTAAATTGTTATTAGAAAATAAATAATTGAATTATTTTTCTTATGTTTAATGTGTGTAAATCTTAAATGTTTAGCAAACGTCTTGTTAGTCCGGAAATATCGTTCATTGATATCAATGTTATGGTCTGATTAGTGAAGTACTGTTTACCAGTGTATTAACTTATTTAATAAACCTTTTGCCTAAAACAATTCATGCAAATCACAAAACAATGCATTTGTATAAAGTATTGTATAAACTTTATACTATAAAGTATTAACATTATAAAAATATAATTTTAATCTAAGATTGAATCTGACATTTAAAATAAAATATTATTTTTATTACAAATAAAACTAAATATAAACTAAAACTTAAATTAAAATAGTTTAATCAATATTTTTATGAGAAATTTTATGCTAATTTTAAGTTTGTATCCGAGAGAAAGAATTTTCACTCAATCATTATTAAGAGACAAAAATATTCGTAAAATTTGAATGAATCGTTCATATAATATAAGTAAGTAATTGAAATTAATTATAACAATATGCTGCTCACTTAAACTGTTATTTTTGTTTAATTTACTTCAATACCACATTAATTAAACTGTAATTTATGTATGTACATTATTATCACACTTCAAACGTTGTAATTCACATAATAAGGACAAATACACACCTGTTTTAGCAGTTATTGTAATGTGCAAACCTATAAGTTCCTAAATTTATTTTAGAGTTAAATAAAGAATCATTTACCGTAAACTTTACATTATTTAAAACAAATATAATTTTAATTTTAAATTTTTATTGATCTACAATGTCATACTTAATATTTATAAAATTATCAGTTTTTTAATGCTTATTTTAATCAGAGGTCTGCTAGCTTTTATAATTCACACAAATTTCGTATATATAAACTTATAAATTAATGTTAAAACAAGATATCTACAGTAGATAGCTTGTTTTTAGCATTAATTTATAAGTTTATATATACGAAATTTGTGTAAATTATAAAAGCTAGCAGACCTCTGATTTTAATGACATTTTATAATTTTTTGTAAAACAATCATTTAATAAAAGTCTGGGATTTTGTTTTAAAAATATGTTTTTATAAATTTAATGTGAAGTAAATCACAAAAAAACATTTTTTGAATTTTTAATAAAAATTAACAATGTCAATTTGTACAGTATTATATAATAAATGTTATAATATATTAAAAATTGTATTTACAAGTTAGAGCTTACAGCATTATTATAAAAAACAAATTTTACACATCAATATCTGTATAAAAATAATCAATTTTTTGAAAACAACTTTATTTATCAATTGTTTCAAATCAAATAACAAATTACAAAACGGAAGGAACTTTAGGATAGTGTAGGAATCGCCTGGAAATGAATTTCAATGCCTATCATATGCTTGTTATAATCAAAACTTTAAAATACACATTATATTCAATTATTTGATTTAATAACTGCCACAACAATGGGGTTTGTTTTTCTGTTGATTTCATTAAATTGTCTATTTTTGACACAACCTATGCTTTTGGTTAATAAATACAACGTTTCAGGTATTAATTGTCAACTAATTATTTAATAAATTTAGGTCTTGAATGCATTGACTAATATTGCTTATATAGGAATTTGTGGCTTTCCTGGGGAACCCATTTCGGCACAAAATAATATCGAAGACAATAAAAAGATTTTCAAATCTGGAGATACAGTGAGCTATCAATGCGTCGACTTTTTAAGCTATAAACAGGAAAGGGTTTGCAGTAATGGGCAGTGGATTGGCTCTCAGGCCAGATGTGGTTATGGCGTCGATAATGATATCAAAAAGATTATTATAAGAAGTTGTTTGACGGATGAAGTGATCGAAGAATACGATTTGAAAGCAATGAATAAAAATAGCGATAAATTTGCGAATTCCTTCTCAACCGACAGATTCAGCGAAATGATATCAAAAAGATTATTATAAGAAGTTGTTTGACGGATGAAGTGATCGAAGAATACGATTTGAAAGCAATGATATTTTTATCGCTATTTAAACGCTTAAGGAAGAGTTGGCTGTCTAAGTCACTTTGAGGCTATTCTCAGGTTTTGAGCTGCACAAAAGCTACCGTAAACATAAAGTGATTATCTAGGGTTTACCGTAATATTAGAGCAGATTTTGCCACTATTTTTGACAGTTTCTCCAAATCTAATCGTGTTATACCTGTTGTCAACGCTTACATTAAACACAATAAAACTTCAAACTTATGTCAAACCGATGCTCAGAAAAAATACAAATTTATTTGGATGAATAAATGGATTAAATATAGCTATAAATATCACTATTATTTCAATTGTCTTTCCAATGATAGAAATGGTAAATTAATTTTGCTAGATTTTAATAATAGTATTACATTATGCTATTTATAATAAATATAATTTTACTCTTGAAATTAAATGGAAAATAATAATTATCTAGATTAATAATGATAATTAATAATTTATACGACAATTATAAAAACAAAATTATAACAAACATATTATTAAAATAATTGATTGTTTAGAGTCTATAGAATCGGATGAATTGATTATAAGGACGGAATCGGAGACTCCGTTGACAATAGATGTGATTCGTGTGGGAGTGGGAGAGGTCTACGGCAGTCCTGGAGAGCCGGCCTGTGGTGTACCGGAACTGCCGGTCGGAGTGAACGCCAATGTCTTGAAAGAACATCAATTATATGAATTGTATTGTGACGAACAGTATTACACAAATTCAACGCCGACCTCAAGAACTCAACTCAAATGCTCTTCGGATGCGCTCTGGAGAGGAAGTTATCCCAAATGCAAACCTAAAAAGAGTTGCATTCAATCAAACACTTTATACGCCAATGAAAAGCATTACATATCAAGCATTGAAAATGTGTTTAATTATAACAAAACCTTTTGGTATGCAATCGACGGCACAGTAATTAATTATTACTGCAATTCAATGACAGGTTTGTCGTCAAGCAATAAATTATTGCTTATTTTAATNTTACACGTTTGGATATTCAAGGATTTAAATAAAATCTCAATTTATTTCTTAGTAAATGGCATTTGAAATGTAATAAATTTTGTTTATATTAAAATTAAAATTTAAAAATAACTAGATGTTACAGTATTTTAATATTTATAAAATTATCAGTTTTTAATGCTTATTTTAATGACATTTTATAATTTTTTGTAAAACAATCATTTAATAAAAGTCTGGGATTTTGTTTTAAAAATATGTTTTTATAAATTTAATGTGAAGTAAATCACAAAAAACATTTTTTGAATTTTTAATAAAAATTAACAATGTCAATTTGTACAGTATTACTGTATATGATAAATGTTATAATATATTAAAAATTGTATTTACAAGTTAGAGCTTACAGCATTATTATAAAAAACAAATTTTACACATCAATATCTGTATAAAAATAATCAATTTTTTGAAAACAACTTTATTTATCAATTATTTCAAATCAAATAACAAATTACAAAACGGAAGGAACTTTAGGGTAGTGTAGGAATCGCCTGGAAATGAATTTCAATGCCTATCATATGCTTGTTATAATCAAAACTTTAAAATACACATTATATTCAATTATTTGATTAAATAACTGCCACAACAATGGGGTTTGTTTTTATATTGATCTTATTAAATTGTCTATTTTTGACACAACCTATGCTTTTGGTTAATAAATACAACGTTTCAGGTATTAATTGTCAACTAATTATTTAATAAATTCATGTATTAAATGCATTGACTAATATTGCTTATATAGGCATTTGTGGCTTTCCGGGGGAACCCATTTCGGCACAAAATAATATCGAAGACAATAAAAAGATTTTCAAATCTGGAGATACAGTGAGCTATCAATGCGTCGACTTTTTAAGCTATAAACAGGAAAGGGTTTGCAGTAATGGGC